CGCAAACCTCGCAGAACTCGCAGACCTCACAGCGAGGAAAATCGAAAGTTGACTCAAAATCAACTTTTGGAATGCGATGAAAGGTGGCTCGCAAGATATACACATGCAGACTCGCTTGTTAGATGGTAATATGGGTCACTCAGCATAGATTGCATTATTAAATTTTGAAGAGACCCGAAAATTCAAAAACTCGCAACCCGCATGCAAGGTCCAGTGTGGGGCGGCCTTAAAATGCCAAAAAAATCACATTTTAGACCCCGACTCAATATCTCAGACAGGCAACCGGAAAAGAAACCGCTTGGTTGTGACGTGCCCCGACTAAATTCATGAGAAAATATGCAAAAACAAAATTGTTTGTCCAATCGGTCACTAAGATATTGAAGGTGTCCCACTTCTGCCCCGTCCCAGTTATCCCCACTCTCCCCTATATACGTAGAGCATTATATTCCGTATATATTCCGTTTTACAGCATTTATTCCGTTTTTTTTTGTATTTTTAGGGTGTTATATAAAAACGTTTTTCAGTTTTGGTTTCAACTAAAAAACGAGATAGCAGTTTTTTAGTCCTGTTAGTTCTACACCATTGTGATTTGAACATTTTCCTGTATCTTCAAAACTGTATCCGTGACAGATCTCTCCCGCAAAACCTTTTTTGGCGTCGAAAATTACAGAACATGACGTCATTCTGATGTCATTTGTAGCCAGCCCATCATGGCCTCTTAGACAAAAATGTTCATAAGGCGTAAAATTTATGGCCAGAGGGATCCTGAAGGTTTGGTGTCCGTGTCTGCAATACTTGACTCGCGCCCGGGTGGGCCTCTCAGCCGACTTCGCCATTGGTAAGTTGGGGGGGGGGGGGGTTCTACCACACTATTTCGGAAAGTAAGCAATGTAGAAAGACGCGGTAAAAAGCGATAGATGGCTCGCTATAAGATCTTTCAGAATTTTAACCCGCGAGTTGCTGGGGGGGGGGCGTTAAACGCCCCCACTTTTTTCGCCGGGCCATAGCATGCGCCAAATTTTGGGTACCTCTTGGGAATTGATTGAAGTGTACTGTGACAAAGTTTCAAAAAAATCGGTCGGAAAATTTTTGAGATATCGAGGTTTTAGTGACGTCATGATTTCTGAGTAAGCCGATGATACTCAATTTAAGGGTCTTAGGTCATTGGTTGACCTTGCAGGTCAGGTCAATGCTTCAAAAGTCGGGAAAATCGGGACCTGTTAGAACGTCGTAAAGTGTGGCTGCTATGGGGTTTTTCGGGGTGCTGATTACGAATATCGTGTTATTTTGATCACAGACGACGTCTTCAGGCATTAACCCGCGCCCCACTGGGGTCTGCGTATAACACGCCCTACTGGGGGGGGGGGGGGGGGGCTATTCATAGCCCCCCCCCCCCTAACTCCGAAACTACTGGGCCGATCGTCAAAATTCGAACGGCGTCTGATAGCCCCGGAAAAACTGTCGAGCGAAACCTAAATTGACCTCGAGGTCACCGATGACGTCACAGGTCAGGTCAAAGTAAAAATTATTAGCATTTTGGCTTCTTCACGTTTTGGGCTCTGGCCGCCGTCTTACAAGTCAGATCAGGCTCATTTTTGGTTCACACACTCGTGAACAGATGCTCTAGATACTCTGAGGGTACCAAATTTGTACTTTGATTTTCAGGTCAAGGTCAGGTCATCACAGGTCACGAAAATATTATATCATCCGTCGGTCACGTGAGACATGTTTTATGGTCCATTTAGGCCAAAAATTTCGAATTTGATGTCGTCTGTGTCATTCGAGGTCATTTTGAGTCAAATTTAGCTTAGGTCAGGTCACTTTCAGGTCAAAAAAGGTCAAATTTTGAAGTTAAAATTTTTCAACAAAAAAGGTGTCTATTGGATGCAGTTTGAGCTCAGGAACACGATGGTGCTATTTATATTGGCGTACGATTCAAATTCGTGCTGAAAAATTGATTTGAAAAATTGATAATTGTTAATTTTTTGCAATAATGCGTATAACTTGGCCATTTTTGAAGATATTTAGCTAAAACTTGCTAAAGTTAGTCATAATAATGCGTGCTATCACATATATTCCGGTTTTTTTTCGAAAAGTCAAAAAAAAATGAAAAAAATGTAAAAATATAAATTTTGAAACTTATTATATAAAATTTTCGAAATTTTCAAAATTTCGAAAATCCGAGATAGCAGTTTGATAGCGCAGTCTATTCTGAGTCCTCTCATGCAAAGAAATTGGATCTAGCTTAAAAACTGAGCTCTTGGGAGCGATTGCCGTGGTTCAATGTTTTGCGTCGAAATCGGCCGAACATGACGTCACTCTGACGTCATTTCCGGCCGACCTATGGTAGGTACGAAGTTCAAATTTTGACACAAGGTGTCAAATTGATGCAGCCGAAGGTACTGAAAGTTTGGCGTCGATACGTCAAGCGGTTTGGAAGTTATTGCAGAAAAACGGGAGGGGGGGGGGCTATAAATAGCCCCCCCCCCCAGTGGGGCGCGGGTTAACCCTCGCCGGCATATGGGGGGTTGCCACCCCCACCCCCCCCAGGTAGTTTTTCTGCTCTGCACTCAACATTTTTGGAGCTAGAGGCCTGATTTTTCGTATAGCTGCTCCTCTATCCTTCCTTGATGTCCGCTGAAAATTTCAAGTTTCTGTGGTTTTTGGTTTCGGAGATATGACCTTGTTTTTCGGGTCAGGTCATGACCCAAATGACCAATTCTCAACATCTTGCGTTGGCTATGGGCCTTGTGAGCTTTTGACACCTTGATTTCGGCCTTTTTTGCCAGTCTTACCTCCCACCTATCATGGAACATGTTGTTCGACGATGTACAGAGGTCAAGGTCAGGGTCAAGGTCAACCTAGGTCATCTAAAATAATCGCGTTTTAGCCAAGCTGAATTTACTTTTCGTGAAGTTTTTTTGACTGCATTTTTGGTAAAAGCCTCTCAGATCATGATTTCATGTAATATGGACACATAAACACTCGGTGCACACATCAGTATACACACAGACACACACAGACATACAAACACATATTGACCTTGACTTAACTTGACCTGAAATGACCTCAGCAGCAAAAATCTGGTCGGGTAGTGTGACAAAGAGGTTTTAGCTGGCTTATCACCAGCAAACGGCATCGTCGTCGGTATATGATAAGCAGCGCACTTGATATCCAACGGTGACCCAAAACAGCAACATTTTTAGTTTGACTTGACCTGGGAGGTCAATGACTGACCTGAAAAGGTAAAACTGGGTATCATTGGATTCGTCTCTTCCCAAAGAATCTTTTTGGTCTTTACCGCGAAGCTCTATCTCCAACAGGAACGAAATGGCGCGGGGGGTGGCAACCACCCCCTCCCCCCGGCCCCCATGTGCGTTCTAGGATGGGAAAATGGCATGTACGGGCGAGGGTTAAAGGTTAGGTCAAGTCAGGTTAGGTCAACCATTAGGGGTCCTGCCGGGTATTCGTAGTAGGTGGCAACCGCCTCTGACAGCTTCGTAACATGTTACAAAGGCACCAAAACTACTTCGTAAATGTTCATATGGTTGCTAAATTCGAATTCAGCACCCAAAACTAGCCTTGAAACATGTAAAACTCAAAAAGTGAACCGAGGTCATCAAAGGTCAATGACCTGACCTGACCTTCAGGTGACCTTGATACCCACCCTAATGCATTGGGGCAACATCATATCACATGTTTAAACGCTTGAATCCACGAAAAGACTGCAAACGCGCGGCTAATACGAGCCGACATGCGCCGAATCGCGATTCCGGCCAAACATGGTTTCAAAAGTAGGTCACATGTCAAAGGTCATTTGGGTCAGGGTCATGCAATTTTAAGGGTAGGTGTAGAATAGATCAACTCGAGGGTACTGTTATTCGCGAAAAACCGAAAGGGCCCGTTTGACCCCCCCCCCCCTATACGGACGAGGGGTAATTCAAAACTGATGTTAAGGTGGGATGGTCACTTTAAGGTCAATGTTTTAGCCTCGAGAGGACAAAAACTCAAAATTGGACTTTTTTTCGGAAAAGGTTTTTTGTAATAAGTCATGTCTCCTAGCTTATAGTACGCTGATTTTACCCGCATCGCATTTTTCTCGTAGAGACGCGTCGAATGAACCTGTTGACCTGGAATGGTCAGCTTAGAAATTTGACCTCAGATCAAGATCATGAAGAAGGTCATGTTGCATATCATTCGATTCGTATTGTTGACACATTCGTGGTGCTTTCAGTGCTCCAGCATGTTTTATCTAATGTTATTATTAGAAACTGTTCATTACGTTTCATGACCTGAGATGACCTGAGGGGCATAAAGTGGTCACTTGTGCAATTTACCTATTCAGTGTGTCATATTCACATACGTTCCTATGTTTGAGGGTGTTTTCGGCCAAAAGTAGAGCATTTCAATTTTATCCCATTGACTTATAATGGAGAGGTCACAAAATTGACCTGGCCTTCGGTCATCGATGCAAAAATTCGGAGATAAACAAATTGTTGGTACTGATGCCCTCGTGCAATTGCCTTACTTTCAAACTTCTGGGATGTAAGCTGAAGGAACGAATGAATCACAAAGTTTTTTTAGAGGCATGGTCACTTAACTTGACCTGGTGGCTGGTAACCTGACCTTATATGATCCAAAGTCAAAAATTTTACACACGATGCCTAATTGATGCATCATAAGGTCTACCACGTGCAGCACCGCGGTATTCTTTACACACGCAAAAAAAACTGGCAGATGTAGCCGAAAACGCCCCCGGCACGCCCCCCCCCCCCCCCCCCATGGGCGCAAAATGACCTTGTAGTCGGCGCGCCCTTAAGCCCCAATAAACAAACACAATCGGGCGAAGGTTAAGGAGATGTCGACAGTAAAGGGGTGGGGGACTGTTTCGCCGCTCCTGTCCCCCCCCCCCCCCCGTACGGGGTGCGGATGAAGTGTTGGTGCGGCTGAGAGCTGCGTTGTGCCGTCTGGCCTAACCCGCCGTCCGGCTGCTGTTACAGCTGGTGAAGGAGCTGACCGGTGTCAGCGGCACCGTCAACTTCGCCCAGGTTCACAATCTGTGTGCCAGCAAGGGATTCACGCCCGACCAGCTGGACGCGTGCGTCGACAGGTACGAGGAGCTGGGCGTGTGGCAGCTGAACCAGGGCCGCACGCGGCTCACCTTCATCTGAGCTCGGCCGGCGGGCAGTGCGGCCGGCGCTGGGACCTACTGCCGCCTCCGATATCCACGCCCGGCCCCCAGTCGCGGCGCCGGAGCAGGAACATTGGACTCCCGAATGAGACGAGTGGCGATTTTTCATTTCATTCCACGTTGTCAAACCTGCGACAAGTTTGCACTTCACCGTGTAGAAATATAGTTTTTGATGGAGTGCGTGTTTGGTTTGGTGCCTGTAAGAGTGTAGCGCCCGACCGGGCGACAGGAGAGTGCACGGGGCTCTCAGGGGTAGCCAGTAAAAGTTGATAGCACTAGACGAAATGGGCGCTCAAAAACTACTATCCCATTGGGCTCCCATGTTAAACTGACCTTTTTCAAACGAGCCTCAGGCGAAATCCATGAAAGGAAGTGCTAAACCGATCGTGGGCACCGGTAGCCTCAAGCTTTACCTATAAACTGTCTAGCTTTTTTCGATGCGGATTGCGTAGGCATGTTCCAAAAGCCCCTTGAGGCCACTGATTCCTGCGCATGATATTACCGCAGCCTTGTACAATCTCTCTCTCTCTCTCTCTCTCTCTCTCTCTCTCTCTCTCTCTCTCTCTCTCTCTCTCTCTCTCTCTCTCTCTCTCTCTCTCTCTCTCTCTCTCTCTCTCTCTCTCTCTCTCTCTCTCTCTCTCTCTCTCTCTCCTCTCTCTCTCTCTCTCTCTCTCTCTCTCTCTCTCTCTCTCTCTCTCTCTCTCTCTCTCTCTCTCTCTCTCTCTCTCTCTCTCTCTCTCTCTCTCTCTCTCTCTCTCTCTCTCTCTCTCTCTCTCTCTCTCTCTCTCTCTCTCTCTCTCTCTCTCTCTCTCTCTCTCTCTCTCTCTCTCTCTCTCTCTCTCTCTCTCTCTCTCTCTCTCTCTCTCTCTCTCTCTCTCTCTCTCTCTCTCTCTCTCTCTCTCTCTCTCTCTCTCTCTCTCTCTCTCTCTCTCTCTCTCTCTCTCTCTCTCTCTCTCTCTCTCTCTCTCTCTCTCTCTCTCTCTCTCTCTCTCTCTCTCTCTCTCTCTCTCTCTCTCTCTCTCTCTCTCTCTCTCTCTCTCTCTCTCTCTCTCTCTCTCTCTCTCTCTCTCTCTCTCTCTCTCTCTCTCTCTCTCTCTCTCTCTCTCTCTCTCTCTCTCTCTCTCTCTCTCTCTCTCTCTCTCGACAGGCGAGGACCGGGAGGGTCAGAGGTGGGGAGGGGTTGACCGCGGGGCTACTGGCCGGCCGCAGTGCACTATGGGACGGATGGCCCCCAGAATGCCTATTAAATCGTGGATTGCGTAAGACAAAGTTATTTTGGTACGTAAAGGGGTTATTTGATGCGCTGAGTCCGATTTTGACATTAATCTTATTGTCAGATTAATATTAACGTACTTTCAAGGCATGATGCATAGTTCACATGCTTTTCGCATAGATTGCTTTCAAATTGTATCAAGCATACTACTGACCCAGTTTGATCACGAATTCAACCTAAATAACATCTTTTCAACTTTAACATTGTTTTTTTATTCAGGGATGCCTAAAACAATTAACAAAATGATTCTGGTTTCAAAGTTTATTCAGGAGCAGCAAAGCAGATTATCGCACATTTCCACGCAAAAAAGTCAACCATGTCAAATTGCAAATTATCTACAAACGCGTGATTAGCAACAGTAGGGGAAGTTGGGGCAATGCCGGAGTTGGGGCAAAGCCGAAATTCGAGATATTTCGAAAACCGTAAGACATGGATGCCACCTGTCAGTGATGCTCTGAAGCTTAAGTGACTACAATTATCGCATGTTTGTTACGAGTCGTCATTCGGAATACTTCGGCTGTGAGGGCGCCAAGAGCGTTTTCAAGGTACGCGTTCCTTGTACTACATGCGCCTTTGAAGCTGCATTTCTTACTCATTATGCTACCGTTTGTCTGGCCAATTCGGTCAAGTAATCTTCAGCATGTCTTTGCATAAGTGTGCCGCCTATTTGAAATTTATACGGCACGTTGAAAAGTTATGGGCCTGCAAATGAAAGTATGGCTGGCTGGGGTAATGCCGAAAACGTGCAATTACGCACGTTAAAGGAAGACTGCCACCTTCAAAAAGTTTTCTCAGATCGGCCTATGATTTATTCCCTGGACAAAACAAAATTTTAGAATTCACCTGACAAAGTATCATCACGTGAATCGCGAAAAAATTATCGATTATCATACAATTATCAATCGGTTAATGTCTAGCGACAATGTTAACACATCACTAGACTTCAAGGTCATAAGATCATTACATTTTATTTGAAAAAGTAAGGTATTTTATGATTTACTAATATATGATTTCATAAGAAATTGGCCATGTTTAATTTATTTTGCATTTAACTTCGTAAAACATTTAAAAATCATGGCTCATTTGGAATGGGTCTGGCCCATGTTAAACCCCATTTCCCACACTTTTTTGGAAAAAATGAACTACTGAATATATAAGTTTAACTTTTATTTTGACACTCCAAAATTCTTCTCTGATCTCGAAACAATCAAAGTTTTGACATATATTTGCCAAAAGATAAGAAAATTCATGTTTCAAAGTTATCGATAAACAGTAGAGATGTCGGTTTTCTTGGACTAAAAAAATGGCATCAAACTGAACTTTGGTCTCCGATTTCTCGCAAACGGGTTCGAATTTCGGAAAACCGACTTCAGTCTGGGACATAGGTGGCTCAGCTCTAGTGAAAACCGTTTTGTGAAAAAATGGTGGCAGTCTACCTTTAAAGCACGCTACGTGGACTTTACTGCTGTAGAATAGCAACGCGAATTTTTAGTCACACAAATTACACTTTCAACCGACACAACGGCCTGTTACCTATAAGGAATTATTTACCTGGCATTTTCTTATTATATCACACAATTATAACTTCCAGTGTGCACCAAGCGTCCTCGAGCTCTTAAAACGCGTGTCAGCTTTGATAAATTCTGGATAAAGTTTGAGATAAAGTGGCAAAACATCAATGTCGGCATTCCCATTTCGGCATTCATTTATCCCATTTTCGGCTTTCCCCGCAGTCCGGGGCAACGCCGAAAAAGTCACTTCTTTGATATTTTTAGTTTGTGCGCTTAACGATATGCGAATTCATCAAATGCGCCTGGTATGTTTGAAAGGCAAAAGACTGGCCTCTCGAATGACGCCAACAAGAATAGCTTATGTTGTCTACCTTGCGTGCTACGGGCGTCAGAAAAAAGTATTCGGCGTTCCCCCAACTTCCCTACCAGTTGGCAAAATTGAGTCCAAATTGTATACCCGCTGTTTCTATGCGTTACAACGCGCCTTGTCCTGACAGCGTGCGTCAACAGCGTCTTAGGCGTCAGAATCGCTCAAGTCGGATTCATCGCTATAGATGTCGACTCTCAGCAGGCTCAACAACACACCTCCCTGCAGCTCAATTAGCTCAGAGCTCCCTTCGCAGCATGACGCCAAACGCAACCCGACCGCGCACTCTTCCCGTACGTTCAGACGCAGCGATGCCGACAATGCCCGTCTTTCGGTCTTATATGTAAGGTCGGTCTGTCCCTGCTCTCCATAACCTGACATCCGGTAGTGCCGAACAGCCACGCACAAGACGGAGGCGCCCCATCCTTTGAAAGTCCGGCCGCCTCGGCGTCTGACCGACTCAGCCGGCCGACCGTTAATTATCGACTTCACGCGGCATATCTCCGAAAACCGCAGCAATCCGCAGCTGAAAATCTCAGGACAATTTAACAACATGCTAAAGACATAAACGATGGCAGAAACTTAACGGAACTCGATGGAACTTTTTCGTAGAGATAACTTAAGCTTTGTCTCTCAATGTTAGCGGCCATATTTTGATGTCACGTGTTAGTTGCACCAAAAAGCTGTCATAAGTACAATACAATCAATTCAAAAGTGGTCCTTCTGCAAGCCCACTAACCAAGCATCATAATGGTATGCATATTTTCTGTTTCCCATTCCAGCTTCATGCCTTTATACAATCTCAAAATACCGTACCAGATTCAGCAGTCCGATTCGCGTCCATAGCGGGTGGGACGTAGCCTGTGTTTGAAGTCAAATTAGTCGAAAAGGGCACGGCTAGAGTTAAAATCGCTGCCATATTTGGGTCCGCTGGCCAATTTTACACTGGAAACCATCTTAAGAAATCAGAAAACAAAACTTTATTTTTTTTATTAAGTGGGCATTCTTAGGGCCATCCGTCCCATGGTGCAGTGGGAGGGATGGGTGGAGGTAGGGTGACAGGGACGCCAGCCGCAGGGCACAGCGAGCTTTGACCCCAGGCGTGCGGGAGCGATATGCCTGAAGCTATTTTGTGAAGCAGCCGGCATGTCACGTAGGAGCTTTGACCTAAATGACTGTCAAGGCTACAGTTTTGAAGATTAAAGAGATAAGCTGATTGGAATCAGCAGATGTAACTTAACCCTCGCCGGCCGAGGGGGGGGGGGCGGGTGCCGCCCCCCCCCCCGTAGGGTTTTTTCGCGATAGCTCCGAACACGCTGGCGATAGAGAGCTGAAACTTGGCATACCTGACCTTTGATCCAAGCCGGATCTTTTGACACCAACCGCATTTTTGTGTCAGGTCAGGTCACTGACCTATGACGTCATAAGTGAACCTCTGCACGGTCCTCAGATGTCGCAACTTCGCAGCGCCCTCACTGCCAGAGGAGATATCACAGGGAAATGAAACTTGCAGGATCTAGTATCCATTATGAGTCTCACAACTTGTATATCTCGGATTTTTCCTAAAGGTCATATGAGGTCAGGTCATTTTCGTGACCTCACCATTATAAGTCAATGGGGAAAAATGAAAACTGCTATTCTGGCGCCGGGAACGATCTCCAACTATCTCAAGCACACAGAATCGTAATTTGATGCACTCCTTGCAAGGTTAGATGCGTCACTTTTGCAATGTTGACCTTGCGTGACGTCATTTGCAAGCAAATGCTTTGATGTCATCGACCACGAACTTTTACTTCAAAAACTGGCTATGCACGGGATCGAGACCTCTTGGTTTTCTGCTTTTATCACGGGACACACCCAGAGCGTGTCCCTATCTAACGGCGCCGGAGGTAGAGTACTGTCGCGGCCGCTTCCAAATAATATGGGCGTCTTCCAAGGATCTGCCCTGGGACCGTTACTCTTCACCATATTTTCGAACAACCTCTCGCTATACGCAGGTGACGCCACCGTTTTCCAATATTCGGAC